ATAGATGAACCTCTGATTAAAACAACAAAAAAGAAAACAACACAACAGTGTACTCGGTATTATCGCTCGGACATGCGCAGTAACATGGACGGTATGAGGGTCTGGTGCCCCCTTCCCGAATCTATGATACAGCACCCCACGCTTGAGCTACTATATCTCAATTTTAATGAGATAGTATTCATATAAAATTCAAATTTTTATTGTTACTGTTGAAACTTGACTAATGCATAGAATAATAATGCAACACAAAATGTACTTAGAACAAAATGTATTGAAACAAGAAAATGTACACAATTTTTACATATAGTCTTTTGTATATTCCTGGTAAGACCGTTCCTGGAGAATGTGTTGACTGAGTCGCTGTCGGGCAGAGTCTCTGGTTGAATCTCTTGATTCCTCCCTCTCTTCCCGGTACCAACCATATTTATATGGTCGGTACTCCACTATGCAAATTAGGTGGATCCTACCACAACAGTTACCTAATTATGTACAATAATGCTTCATCTGCAATATAGGTGAACAATTAAATTGGAAAATTTGAAAATAAATACAGTGTATCAAAATAACTGTAGTGAACAAAACAAGATCTAGAATTAAAATTCAAATGCTAAGCACTGACTCATTGATTTTGTTAGAAATTAAGAAGACTCGAATTTACAAACTTTGCTTCACACGCACGCAAAAGCGAATCCAAAACAAAAGGTCATAAATCAGTTTTTCAAGTCCAAAGATAAAATTTCCAAGGGTGAAATCAAAAGGGGTCAAAAATCTATCAGAATCTGGCAATGCAGAACTACCTTCTTCCTCTTCTGTGTCATATCCCTTCAGGATGTTGACAATCATGGTTCCCGACTATTTCCTGTTCCTTGTAGCTCTTAATAACTTTTGTCTTTTGCCATCTCTCCTATACCCTGCTCTGCAATCCATTTTTAACTCAAGCTCACCAAGTAGGTTGTGCATTGCTTTCCTCTCTCTTACCTTCAGTCTGTCCTGTGAGTATCAAATTTTCCAAGCTCCCAACTGTCTCTTCCTGTATAAGTTTACTTTTTGTTGTAATTGTCTCTTAAACTTTGTTGTTGCTCACATTTTTGTTCTATGGTATTCTCAGCATCCTTCTGTAAAACCACATTTCAGTTGCTTTTAATTTCTAACAAAATCAATGAGTCAGCTCTTAGCAATTGAATTTTAATTCTAGATTCTGTCTCTCTCTATATATATATGGATAAAGGCGTTGGTTAGATCCATTGACAGGACCCAAAAAGTGTAAGTTCAATACCCGGTTAAGGCAGTGGAGAACTTTCAGAGGGAAATTAGCAGGAGATAACTAATAACTGACATCCATCAAACATGGCACGTGAAACTAGAACAGTCTACCCCAGTGAGCGAAATAAAGGGTTCAGTTCGAAATTCCAACCACCTGAAGAAGGCCGGAGCGTACAACGGTCGAAACTTTGTAATAAATATGGCGACAAAGATGAGGACAATAGTCAGAATAATGTAAATAATTTAATTCTAGATCTTGTTTTTTTCAGTGCATACCTAGATAATTCCATCTTAAATAAATCAACAGTGTGTTGCGGCAATTTTTAACATCAACTTGAGATTTTTCTTGTTAAAATGTTGAAATAATTGAAACTATTATGGATTTAAAAAATAGTGAATTTTATATAGTGTTTGTTTTTAGACTTAGCATGGGCAAAACAATTACACGGATTTGGGGAAAAAAAGAGCTAAGATTGACATCAAATCCGCGAAAATATTTCACCGTTTATGAATAGTTACTTGTGCTTAGTTTAATTTCTAACATATTACATGTAGGTAGAAAAATCAAATGTTAATAAGATAGCGAGGCTCACAAAGTACTTTCTTGGGCCCCCGCCAATCAGCTCCCACCTCCAACCCCACTACAATTCGGAGGTTCGGAGGTAGTACGCACCAGCCCTGCTGCGTAAGTCTAATAACGATTTTTCACTTGAATATTTTGGAATCTGTATATGTCAAGTCCTACCAACCATCTCTCTACAAGCAGGAGTGGTTGGTGAGCTTAAAAATAATTAGCATTTAATGCTATATTTTGTTTGCATATAACGTTAGTCTAGGCTTACATATTTTTTAGTTGCTGTTTACATTTTTTCGTCTCTATTTTGCTCTGATGAGGACATGGATAAACCGGCTTAGCTGCTTTTAGTTGTGACATTTCGGTATTACCAATTTACGGCAATACACACACACACACACACGCACACACGCACACACGCACACACACACGAACGAACACACACACACACACACATATATATATATATATATATATATATATATATATATAGTGTGTCCATAAAGTTCGTGTGCACTTTAAAAATTTATAACTTTATTTGTATTTGAATAAAAATAATTTGTAAAAAGGATTAGAAAGAATTAAATCTATATTTTTAAGGCTTTATTGAAATTTTATTTAAGTTTCCACATCATTAGCAATACAAATGGTAATACGATTTTGCATTTCACGGAAAACATTTGCCAACTGATTTACAGTAATGCTTGAAAGTACAGTAGTTATTTTAACTATACTTAAAACTAGGTACATTAAACTTTATCAAATTTTTTACAGATTATTTCTATCGTAAATACATTTAAAGTTATAAACTTTTTAAAGTGCACAGGAATTTTATGGACACCCTGTATATATCTATTTGTTATGAATTGTTTTTTCTTTTGTTATAAATGTTCTAACATGTGTATATTGGTAGGGCAGAACAATGAAAGAATATGTTTCACGTATTTTAAAGAGGCATAAAACTCAACAAAAATGATCCAACTAAAACTGGTAATAATTTTTGTTTGTTTTTGTTCTTTAACTGTTTCGAAATATTTTTCTTATCTTGATTGCTATAGATGTTATTATAGACAGAAGTTTCGGCTCATTATGTCCTGGACTTCATCAGGTATCCATTGTTTGGCTAATGCGGCGTATCTTTTTATGATTGTGTTATTTCGACCATGTCATGCCAGGTATTGTATGTTCCTACTGAACCAGTGTTTCAACAACTGGTATAAGGATTGAACTTACAACACATGATTAATCAGATCGTATATCCACTATGACACTGTGTGGGTAGTTTTCGAATCTTAATATTCAGTGGCAGACGTTTTCAACTTTTGGTTATCATGACGGGTTGGTACGGCTTTTTGATAATTTGCTTTTTTTTCAGTGTTCCGTGTCATAAACATTACTTCGCAATTCTCTAAGGGAAATTAGTGACAGATTCATGAATGTTCGATCCTTGACTGACTGGAAATAATTGTTATATTAAGTATTTCTATTGGAGTGATTATCATTAATTTATTCTTATACAATTCTTCATCTATGTGCAGTGTCCATTCAGGACGAGAGTAATCATGACTCTCCACAACTTTCATAGCTCATAGCAATGTTTTTTTCTCCCTACTATCCCTGTGTCCCTGTTCTTAAATCCATTTACATAAATCTCCTTAGGTAGGTTACTCACTGTTTCCACCTCTAGCCTTCAATATATCCCGTGAATGTCAAATTCCACAAGGATTCTCTCCTCATTGTGTGCCCTAGAAATTTCAACCGCTTCTTTCTAATTTAAAATAAAAGTGTCCTTTTGGCTTCAATTTGGGAATAGTATCGCAAGAAGAAGCTATGGGACTGTCATTTTGTGGTATCAGGTCACATGTTTGTCCTGCGACTACACCTGGAAAAGCGGACGGCTAATTAACACTGACGGACGGAAGATAAACAATGTTGGGCAACAGAGCTCAACGGAGAAAAACTTAATAATAATAAGCTGTTGTTAAACCGGAGTCCAAACACTAAAGACAATAATGCTTTCCTTGTCTTTCTTTGTCTCTTTCTAGTCAACATTTCTTTCTCTATAACTAAGCTTTCCTGTCTCAGCATTTATTTCTATTTTGAAACAAGGCCTTCCTTATGGCCTCAAATATTAAAACAAAACTTATACTATTTTTTATATGTTTTATTCACGTTTTTATTTAATTAGGTGTAAAAAACAAAGTAAAAAAAAAAACCAGCGTATAAGATCTTTGGTCTACAGTCGGTTTTTCTCAACCGTTCCTGTATTAGTGGAAGAGACGGGTCAGGGTTATTTACCCGAACGAGTGCAAACATTTTGCAAACAGTTTTTGTATCTAGATAACAAAAAAAAATTGGGAAAATGAATCTTACAAAATTCCAGTGGTGGGTGGGTGTTTGTGATGACGTCACATGATGTCCGTCCGGCTTTTGTGAAATTGTCACATTTAATTAAGTGTAATGTGTACAATGTTTGTGCTAGAATTAAGAGGAATCCAGTCAAAGATAACATTTTTTTAAAAATCACGTTTTCGAGTGCTAATGAAAAAAATTTACGTTGATTTACTCAAAAAACAAAACATATAAAAAGAAAAGTCACTACAAAACGTTTTCTTTTTTCATAAGGATTAAGAAAATAATTAATGATTGTTTGTGTTTTACGGTTTATCAACTTTTTATAGGTTATTTAAAGTTAGAAAATATGTTTTAGATTGCAATATTTGAAGAGGATACAGAAAGTGGCTAAAGGAACAGGAGGAAGCTCAACACCGAGTGATATAATCAGGACTGAAATTTCACAACGTCTTTCATAATCCCTAGCGACGATAATCATTTAATCCCATCCCAGGCTTTCCCTCAATACCTTAGTGTCAATTTTGCCGACCTAAATCTAGGTGTGGGACACGATGGTCAAGTTTTGAATCAAGGGTGCAGCTGCCCGTGTTCCTGCAATATTTTTAGATTGCAAGAATATTTGAGGGCTGATAATGATTTACTGATAAAGGTTCTACTAAATTAACCATAGCTGGTGGGGAGAAGAGGAGGATTCAAGCCTTTCCGAATGGCTTTTGCGCGTGTAAGTGAATATATTGAACCTAACTGGAAATGAAACTCAGCTTTCCAATTTCGAGCCGTTATCCCTTACAGAATCTGTACGACTAAGCTTACAGTACATAATCTTCCCAAGCGGTCACCCTTCTAGGTACTGACCAGGCGCTACGTTGCTTAACTTCAATGATCGTACGAGAACCGGTGTTTTGATGTGATACGGCCGCAAACCTACACGCCATCCAAGGTTATATGAATATAATGATTAAGAGTCTTTCATATACTGAATAAACATATTGAATAAACCATTTTTCTGAAAATGAGGGTTTCATTTGATACAAACAACAGTTTTTTTTTTGTATTTATTTTCATATATTTGAGTTTAATTACTAGATATTTTACGGAAATTGTCTCATCATTTGTATGTAAGAAAAGAATGTGTCTGGATGGTCATTTCGGTAAGCCACTCACTTATAATTAACTGACTTGCCAGGCATTACTCACAATGAAAAGTTGTTACATACTTTTAATCATTTCACCCCAAGCAAGGTGATAATGCCACTAAGACGCAAGCGGGTTACAGGCAGTGAAAGAGAAGACTTTACTGAGGAGAAGTGAGTAAAAGGAAAATAAAGGAACTGGCCCCAGGAACACAAAAGACGTTGAATTTAAAGTTTTGAAGATTATAGGTGGCAGGGAAGGCTGGAAAATCGAAGGAAGTTCCTCACACGAGAAGTGCGAGAAAATAAACTAATAGTATTTATTAATTAAACAGTGGACATCATGTCTATTGGTTGCACATTCGAGAAATCTACGTTCTTCCATTGTAGCGTTTTGATGTGGCGTCCTTTTTTATCCAACCACGGAGAATATCAAAGCAACCAAAGTTTTCCTTTCCCTTTGCAAGGAAAACAAATCCTATTCACTGAGACTATTTTTCTTGAAAGCTCTTATTTGCTTAGTTTCGTAACCGAAACCTAAACAACGCAATTTCTAAAGAAATGGATTTATATAAAATGCGACCTTTTTTATTCGCTCAAACGTTATTCTAGCGAATTCCTCGTATTTGAAATAGACGAACCGATTTGTATTTATTAAACAGTGTGTAATAATTCTGTCGGCCTGAACATTCTAAAACATGTTCCCCGACATAAAGTGTGAATACGCTAGATACGTGAGAAAAATATTAACCAGTATATAAATGGATGACGAATTGACATAATGTTACACGAAGCGCGCCACATTTTTTTATTCAGTTTTATCTTGAACATTAATCTGGAATATGCCAACGTGACATAGGAAAAACTTACAGTGCTTCGGAGATACTGAAGAGGATACTGAAATTGGCTAAACGAGCAGGTGGAAGCTGAACACAGCGTGATATAATCAGGATCTTACTGAAATTTCACATCGTTTATCATAATCCCTGGCGATGATGATCATTTATTACCATCCCAGGCTTCCCCGCAATACCTTAGTGTCAATTCCGCTGCCTAAATCGAGGTTCTGAACACGATGGTCAAGTCTTGAATCAAAGGTGCAGCTGCCCATGTTCCTGTAAGATTTTGATCCCTCCCACACCAAAAGAAGCAGGCAATCCTGTCATGGATTGCCGATATGTTTTTAAAGGTCATATCACCCCCCCCTCGATAATATGTATAAAACAAAAATAAATCAATCTATTGGTAAAGCATCAAAGAACAATCCTACACACAGTAAGCCTGTCAAAGGAAACAAACATGAAAGGATTAAAGAAAATGAAGAGTAAACCAAGAAAAAAAAAAGACAAAAGAAGGCAAAGAAGGCATAAAAAGAAAAAAAAAAGAAAGACACCTATCGCCGAAAAAAAAACTTTAAGTGCTCAATGTCTCTACACAGATCTGTAACGCTAATAAGCCACATAGCACTCAGGGACTCCGATACAAATCGTTACGCTAAGCGATCGTCAGACGACAAGAACAGATATTATATCAGTATTATAATAGTGGTACTAGCATTTATTTAATACTAGAATTTAAAACCTTAAAATCATTTTTAATATTTTTATTTTCAAAAACTTGAAGAGGAAATAATTGTTTGTCGACCGAAAGTTTTCTATTCAAATTTTTGATTTTATAAGGAAAACATATGCCTGACGATGAATAAGGATTATTCAAAAATGAATTAAAAAAATATAAACTGGAAACAACAGACAACAGTTTTTATAAATGAGGATCACGTCACTCTATGGATTAACAGTATTTTAATGCATACATTATACACTACTAGTGATGGATGTCGCCAATAATAGCATTAATATTTTGATTGATTCTATAATTTGATTTTCTTTATATGTTCCTATTTTATTATATGAATAATATTTTTATATATATATATATATATATATATATATATACCAAAATATGTCGGATATGTGTGTGTGTCCATTGTATGTGTGTTTGTGTGATTTTAATTTGATGTAAATTTCAACAATTTATTTCATGCATTTAAATGAAAATTGCATAAAAAAACAGATAAAGGTGCTTTCGTTTTTATTTTTATACAATTTTATATATCTAATAATTTATATTATATATCGGATGATAAATATATACAAACCAATTGGCTGGTAAAAGCTTATATCAGGTCATCCCAAAAAGTTCTGTCTTTTAACTTTTTGTTAAAATGAACGAAATTTAAAGAGTATTTTATAATGTCTAATGGAGCTGAACATTATTTTTATGTTTAGATGCATTTAAACTGATCAAATTTTATTTCAGAGAACAATAAAATTAAATTTTGTTTGATTTAAAACCCTGCTAACATGGAAGTACCCAAAGAATCATTTGAGGCACATAATGCTTTATGAGTTCAAGAAAGAAAACTCAGCAGCCGAAGCGGCTAGAAACATTCACTCAGTTTATGGAGAGGAAATGTGAATGAAAGAACTTGCAGAAGATGGTTTGCAAAATTCAGAGGTGGAGATTTCACCCTTGAAGATGAAGATCGAACCGGACGTCCAGTTGAGTTTGATGAAAAGCTTCTTGAAGCAGCCCTTGAAGAAAATCCTGCTTTATCAGTTGAGGAATTGGCAGTGGTTCTCAGTTCAAACCATACAACTGTTCATCGTCATCTTCAACAACTTGGAAAAGTTCCTCAACTTGGAAAATGGGTGCCTCGTGAATTGTCTGAAAACAACCTCAAATCCCGAGTTGACATCTACTCTTCTCTCCATTCTTTTTTGGATAGACTTGTGACTGGCGACGAAAAATGGATCTTTTATCGAAATGTTAAGCGTTGTAGACAGTGGCTTGGTAAATGGGAAGGACCCCAGCCACAGCCGAGAAGGGAACTTCATGGGCAAAAGGTTCTTCTTTCAATCTGGTGGGATCACCAAGGAATAATCCACTTTGAATTCTTACCACCTAATGCAACAATTAATGCTCAAATATACTGTCAGCAATTAGAGCGTTTGAACCAAGCTTTGAGGAAAAAAAAGACCTGCTCTAGTGAATCGAAAAGAGGTGATGTTTCATCAGGACAATGCGCAACCCCACACAGCAAGAATCACGTCACAAAAGATCGAAGAACTTGGTTGGGAGAAAATTCCTCATCCACCTTATTCTCCCGATCTTGCTCCTTCAGACTACCATTTGTTTCGTAGCTTACAGAATCATTTGGAAGAAACAGCTTTTGTAACACAGGAAGAGGTTAAAACTGACATTTGTGAGTTCTTCGAATCAAAGCCAAAAGAATTTTACAGTAATGGAATTAGTAAGCTTGTTAATAGATGGAAGGAAGTCATAGATAATCAGGAAAAATACATTGTTGATTGAATCTGTAATTAAATGTAACATTTGGTCACTTGTTTTCTTTATTCAAAATTCAGACAGAACTTATGGTTGACCTGATATATATATATATATATATATATATATATATATATACCTACGTTCGAAGTGCAACTTAAGTTTCGTTGTTTTACCAACTCATCAGACACGAATTATTACTTTTGATTTAAAAACATATATACTGGATCTCATAGGAGGAATACTAAATTAAACGCAGTTCTAAAGTTCAAATTTAAGATAAACTAAATATAATATTGGTGTGTAAATGCAGAAATTAGAGTACAGATAGAGGGCTAAAAAAAAAACAAGTTTAAAGTATAAAAGACGAACGCAGACAAGAAATACCGAGCCATCCACCATGATAAGACCTTTCTCCAACATAAAATAATTGTCGTATGTTTAATCATCGTAACTGGGCTTAAATTTCCCGTGTAGATTTCATTTAGCTCTAATGATGTATCTTTTCTTTATTGTCTTCGTTATATAAATAATATGATTAATGGCCGCTAATATTGACTCAACAGCTATTTCTATAATTTAGATACACTAAATCCAAATCTATACAGACAGTGTCTATTTTCGTTGTCTCCTCGTGCTAATAGGTTCAAAATTGATTCGAAAAATGTCTGTATCGTCTAAAACGACACAGGACGTACTTTGTCTGGATGGGGCGTAAAATTAAGCGATTTCAATTGCGTTGTCTTAAGCGAATATCTATCATAATTTCTTTTTTTTTTTAACAGATCAAATAAATATAGTTTATCATTAGACCAGGAAAATATTTTTTGTTAACGGACATTTTTCGAGATAATTGCAAGAATATATTATTCTTTTGCGAGAAGTTTTGATATTATTCGGAATGCTACGATTTAGAGGTCATTTGATTAAATTATTTGTTTGACTCAGTTGAAATTTCTTGGACATATAATGAAGGAAAAGAACCTGAGGAATTTGACACTCACAGGTCATACACTCCTCCCCGGATTTTTTGAACAGGAGTAGAGCTTTGTTCCTTGTTTCTAGCTTAGAATTTGAATGCCGATCCCTTTTAAAGTCTGCTTCAATTCTATATTTCTAACGTCTCCGTCTGATTTCTGAAATGTCTAGTTATGTTTTTCTTGTCCCACAGTAGAAGTAGATCATCCGGTTCGCGCTTTTTGACGTTTTTTTTTTAAAGGAGGGACAGTTTATCCCTTATTTCCTGTTTGGGACTAGGTTCCCACTTCCTTCTAAAGGTTACTTGCATTCTATACGTCTAATTTACCCGACTGAATACTGAAATGTTATTCATTAATTAAATCATGAGTTTATAGTCGGCTGTTATATTTCCTGTATATCCTTCACTTTTTACCCTTTCTTATCCTCATATAATACCACACAGTAACCCTCTACCTTGATT